CTATATTGAGGAGATATATATACACACATACAGAGAGCATAAACAGGTGGGAGTTGTCTTAGACATATATATGTCTTAGTATATATATCTCCTCAATATATGTTCCATTCTATATGCATCCGAAGAAGTGGGCTGTAGTCCACGAAAGCTTATGCTCTAATAAATTTGTTAGTCTCTAAGGTGCCACAAGTCCTCCTGTTCTTCTTTTTGTTTTAAAAAAGTGGAATATTAAGCTTTATATGCTCTAAAATTTACTAATCATAGCAGAAAATTATGAGCTTGGTGATCTTAAAGGTTAGCATACTTTCAAAAGTGAAATATAACCATTCCTGGCTGCTTTTTAAAAATATATATTTTTAAGACTTTGAGCAGATTCAAGACAAGTTCCTGGTTAAGTTTCAAATTATAATACAAAACTATGGCAATTGGAGTAAAGATCTGATATAGGACAGAATTTAACATCCATCAATTTTATTAATCACCTGTATTACTAGAACTAAGTCCAAAGACTATAAATAGTTTACAGTAAAGCAAAATGTCTATTTCTTAGATTCCTATAGGATTTGTCTTTTTAATATTTTAGAAATTGTAGTCTTATGAACAAAAAATTTAAGCACAGTTAATTGATAGCTCTCGTTAGCCTTGTCCTAAACAAAACTTATATAGAAAGCATTAAATTAAAAACTCTGTCAGCCCAGTTTTGCCCAGCTATAAGTTAGTACCACCTGGAAACAATCACATGTTGAACTTTATGCACCTGAGCCATCCCACTGACTTCTTGGGAAATTGACTTCAATCAGCCAATCCAGGTGCATAAAGTTCAGCATGCCCATAAAGGTGGACTAGAGGGGGATTTGAGTTTGGATTTCCAGCAGGTGTTGTCTTAGAGGATGTATTATTCTACTATCAGAACATGAACAGGAGAAGGTGTTTCAAGTTTCATTGAAGAAGCTAGGACGGTGGCGGGATTGATAGAGCAACCAAGACAAAATTATTTGTAGTACAAGTCTGTGTGTAGTCTCCATCTGATATGGTGTAGCATCCCAACACTGTAGAGTCTGCTGCCCAGGTAATTAACATTGATTTAATTTATTTAAATGTGGGTCAAGCAGGGTACACAGGAAACCTCTAGGGAGATTCCAGCTGTTAGAACAAGTGGTGTTGCTGATTCATTAGTCAGCACTTTTTCTTTTAAGTCAGGACAGAAACAGTGCCTGACCCTGATGTTACAGGGCCTTATGTTGTTAGAGGTATCATCTTTTGCATGGGATGTAACAATATATTGTTAGTTTTAAATTGCTTTTAGCACTTATTGAACTTTGTGCAAGATTAGGAGTGTTAGTGCTAATGGTAAATTCTAATTTTGGTAACTGGGTCTCCCAAGCAGTTTTATATCCATTTATATAGGATTTCCTTGACTTTCTCACTTTTGCTGACCCAAGTGCTTAAAAATCATAAGCTAGAGTTCAAAAATAATAAATTACCTTAAATTAAAAAAAGGGGGGGCAAAAAAGCCTTTCTGGTTCATGAATCGTTAGGGTATGATGTCATATCTTCCAGCTTCCCTCCCCCCCACCCCACCAAATGATGTGAGAATCTTGGCTTTCATCACATGCCTTGTGAGAGAGCTTTAAGAAAAACAAACATAGTGAGACTTTTGATTTAAATTGTGTGACCTGGAGATACTACTTCTGTCCCAAATGTTAAGTAGTCCCCACAGTGGTGTGCAAAAAGAAGAACAGGAGGACTTGTGGCACCTTAGAGACTAACAAATTTATTAGAGCATAAGCTTTCGTGGACTACAGCCCACTTCTTCGGATGCATATGACAGTAACATATATTGAGGTCTGTATCTGTACGAGTTTTTTCATGAGGTTGAT